CTCGTGATCTACCGCCTCGGCCTCCCAAAGTGCTGGGATTACAGCCGTAAGCCAGCGTGCCCGACCTAATTTTTATATTTTCTAGTAGAGATGGGGTTTCACCCTGTTGGCCAGGCTGGTGTCGAACTCCTGACCTCAGGTGATCCGCCCACCTCAGCCTCCCAAAGTGCTGGGATTACAGGCATGAGCCACTCACGCCTGGCCTTTGTTCAGTTTTAAAGGGGCGAGTTCGTGGCATGTAAATTTCACTTCAAGAATGAAAAATAGGCTGGGTGCAGTGGCTCAGGCTTGTAATCCTGGCACTTTGGGAGGCTGAGATGGGCGGATCACCTGAGGTCAGGAGTTTTTAAGACCAGCCTGGCCAACAAGGTGAAACTCCGTCTCTACTAAAAATATAAAAATTAGCTGGGCATGGTAGCAGGCACCTGTAATCTCAGCTACTTGGGAGGCTGAGGCAGGAGAATTGCTTGAACCTGGGAAGCGGAGGTTGCAGTGAGCTGAGATTGCGCCATTGCACTCCAGCCTGGGCAACAAGAGTGAACCTGCATCTCAAAAACCAAAACAACAAACAAAAAAAGAATGAAAAATAGGCTGGGCGCGGTGGCTCACGCTTATAATCCAAGCACTTTGGGAGGAAGATCACCTGAGGTCAGAAGTGTTCGAGACCAGCCTGGCCAACAGGGTGAAAACCCATCTCTACTAAAAATACAAAAATAAGCTGGGCATTGTGGCAGGCGCTTGTAATCCCAGCTACTCCGGAGGCTGAGGCAGGAGAATTGCTCGAACTCAGGCGGGGCAGAGGTTGCAGTGAGCTGAGATCGCACCACTGTACTCCAGCCTGAGCAACAGTGAGACTCTGTCTCAAAAAAAAAAAAAGAAAGAAAGAAAAAAGAAAAATAATGGTACCAGTAGCTAAGAGTGGACAAGTGCTAAAGGGGTAGGGGAGGTAACAGAAGGGCTGAGGGCTGGGAGAGGAAAAGACTTGGCAGAAACAGGTAAGGTTGAGGTGGTGGAAAGGTTCGAGGGAGGGTCCCAGGCTGCAGGTAAAGGTAGTCTGGAGGAAGCTGACTTTGATTCCTTGGCCAGCAGGGGAGAAGCAGAAGGAGTGGCATTCAGGGAAGGCCCTTGCAGCCTCTGGGCTGTTTGCTTCCTCTCTGACTGGAAGGTCCTGGTGGGGGGGTAGGGCCTGCATCCTTTGAGCTGTTTCACTTTCAAAGTGGCATCACAGGTGGATGGTTCTTTTAAAAACCCTGGCACCAATGGAATGAAATGGAACACGTAGGCAGCAGGAAGATTCGCCGCCGCCCACACCAGGGAAGTGAGGCTGGCACTGGGCTACGTGTGTGCCACCTCCAGGCGGCCAGGAGACTCCCCAGGGCAGAGAGGGCCTGGCCAGCACCCATGACAGCTTCAGCACTTGCAGAGGGCAGCACCCCCTGGGGCCTGGGGTGGGGGAAGGGATTGGGTGAGCACCATGGGCTCCTTTGTCAGACCCAGGAAGGAGAAGTGGGGGCAGCTACCGGAAGTAGGGGGATGAGAAGCTCCCTCCGGAATGTATGCCCCCCTCTCCCCTCCCCTCCCCTCCCCTCCCCACATGCACAGCCCCTGCACATGCTCAGTGTGCCCATGAATTGGGTTGGTTGGGGGAGGGCACTAACTGGCACCCCCACTTAAAGGGCCAGTGCCACACTTGCCTGTTCCCAACAGGGGCAATGGGACCTGGCTACCTTTCCCCCCAATACCGTTACTTCCCTTTGGACCCCCTTCCCCACTCCCTGACAGCTTCCTCCTGCTCCACCTCACCAACCTCCGCCCACCCCTCTCCCTCATTCCCTGACCCTATCGCAGGCAGGGTCTGTCCACTGGACACAGGAGTTTCCACCTGGGGTCGGGGAGTTCCTGCCGGGGAAGAAAAAGGGATCCTAAGCCAGGCTGGGCCGGGGTGGTGGGAGGTTGGTGGGAGGCTTCAATAGTCACTCCCGTGAAACATCTGTTCTCTGCGCTTCCCTCCCCGGCCCAGTTGACCAAGAGGGTCCGAGAAAGCACAGGGCGTGAGGGCAGCTCTGGAAAGGCCCAGGGAGGCTGTGTCCAAGCCCAACTTCCCCAGTTAGGGCATGTGATGTGGGGGTAGGGGTGTCTTGTAAACTGGAACTTCTACCATTGCAGTGGGCGGAGTGGAGGCCTAGGCTTCAAGACCAAGCAGCAGGTGTGGGAACAACTGGAAGCGGCGAAGGGGGCGGGGCACCAAGGGACCCAGGCCTGGCTCCCACCCACAGCTGAGCCGGCTCTCTCCAGTGCTAAGCCCCAGCTCTGGCCCCAGGACGATCTCCTCCCTGCACACCCCTTACCCAGGAATCAGGGAGCCAGACGGGGGGAGGGGCGGACAGGGACCCTCTTCACGGACCCCTCCCATTTGGGTTCAGGCCCTCCCACACTCCCGGCTCGCATCCTCTCCTTTGTTCTCTTCTTGCCCCACCCGCCCTCCAGCGGGGTGAGGCGGGGGTGCGGGAATTAACCCACCGAGGTGCTGCCCTATTTGCGCCCTTCAGCCTTTTATGTGAAGGGGGATGTTGGGGGAGCGGTTGGCAGCTTTCCTTCCTCCAGGCTCCGCAGCTTCTGGGCCAAGAAGGGCCAGACTCTTCACCTGCCCCTCCCTGGCACGACCAGCCCACAATGCGCCCCCAGCACCCGCACCCACACCCCTCCCCCGACACTCCAGCAGCCCTCTGGAATCTTCTCTCACCTCCTAGACACACATACACACACACAGAGGCACCTCCGGGTAAACAACCTTTGTCCACCTTTGTCCCGGGCCTCCTCTCTCCCTCAGGCTCCATGCTGAGGAATGCAGCTGGGAGCCTGCCAGCAAATGCCAAGGGGCCTCTGGGTCCCAGGTTAGCACCCCACAGCACTCCACAGGGGCAGGCAGGCCTCCAGAGGCTCTCCTGGAATCCGAAAAGCCACTTCCTTGCTAAGCCTCCGGTTTCCCATCTGCAAAGTGGGGATGATCATTCCTGCTGCCCTTCCTGACTGAGCCGTCTGAGGACCCAGGGTTCTAGGGGCAGGTCTCCCAGGATGGGATTTTGCTTTCTCTTGAAACCCATGCGTTCCTAGAATCTGTTCTGTGTTTCATTGTAGGAGGCTCTGGCCAGGCCTGGGTGTGGCAGGATAGAAATGAAAGTTGTCCTGGCAACACACAAGATTTCATCAACATTTCCATCCCCAGAAGCTCCTGGGCTGAGCCTCATCTTGCCCAATGTGGCCTGTCAAGATGAGGGCCTGGAAGAGAAGCCAGGCTGGGCAGCCAGGCCTCTGCCCCTCCCCTTGCCTGGTGGCACAGCCAGCACTGGCTCACTGGTGAGTTTACTAATTTCCTCCACCACCACTAGTTATCCATGTTCATTGCTGCCTGACACCCAACACTAGCCTGCAAGGGCACCAGGAAGGGATGGAAGAGACAGGGTGCCTGGGGAAGGGTGGGTCTGAGTGTGAGGGGTGAGTGAGCTTTTCTCAGAGCCTGACGCTGGCTGGTGGTATCTGCCTTACCCAGGCTGACCCAGCTGTCTCTGATGCACAGACAGGCAAGGGCCTCACACACTTCAGAGGGAATTCACACCCACATGATGAGGCTGAGAGGAGCAGGACGCACAGGCGCACGGCAGGCACCAGGAGAGCCAGGCTGCTGTGCTCTGCGGGGGATCCATGTGCTGTCCCCCTCTGTCTCTTGACTTTATTTTCCACCAGGAGAGCACCTCCCTTAGTACCCTTGGGAGGTAAAGGGACAAACACAAACATATGATGACTAACCTCAGGCCCAACCCCCTGCTGAGAGGGGTCGGGGTTGGGGGCTGTCAAGAACAAGGAGGCACAAGGCACCCAGAACCCGTCTAGTCCAGCCTTTAAACTGTGGGGAGAATACAGGGAGCTCAGCAGCAAACTCTGAAGGAACCCCTGGGTCTTCTCCAAAAACCCCCGTTCTCTCCTCTAGGGAAAGCTCACAACTCCTCACAGCGATCTGGTATTTTGAGCTTCAGTTTCTGGCCGAAACTGGGGGCTCCTGACGGAGTTCCCTCCCACCTAGAAAACCTTTCCTGCAGTCTGATTGCTCCAGCACCCACAGAGCAGGATTCAGGTATTCTGGAGAACTTGGGAGGTCCCCATCCAGAGGTCCGCTGTCCTGCCAGGCTTGGGGCAGTGGGGACTGGGACCCCACTCAGACTTCTCTGGGGCAAATGTTTTGGTTCTCACAACAGCCCTAGTGAAATCAATCCTAGATACTCCCATTTGGTCCCACTAAGACCATTTAATTTCTCTGTAAAGAGTAAGATGACACGAAAGAGCCAACTGTGGAAACGGTGAGGTGGGAGTCTGAACCAATTTAGCCGTTCTCAGGGGGCAAAGGGTGTTGACGGTGGTTTTCATCTGCCACCTGCCTCCTTGAGACCCAGCTGGCCTGAGTGTGCACAAAATGGGACCTTCTCCTTGGGTCCACCAGGCTGGGAGGCACCCCTAGGTACCCGGCTCCTCATCACAGCAGCCCTCTCGGTTCCACATCTGGTTCTCCTGCCGAAGCCGCTGGTTCTCAGTCCGGAGCCTCTCGACCTCGGCAGCCAGCTCCTCCACCTGGCGGCAGGACTGCTGGCCAGTACACGCCTGCAGCTGCTGCAGCCTCCTAGTCTCCTCCTCTGCCTGCGACAGCCGCTTCTCCAGCTCCAGGTAGTCTCGCACCAGCTCCTGCTTGCTGCGGCCCTGCAGGCTCTCGGTGTGGAAGCGCTCGTAAGTCTCAGAGAAGTCCTTCCGCTGGAACTCACCGTGCGCTTGGCCCCGCCCATCACTGTCCCCGGCCTCACTCTCCCCACTGGAACCTGGGTGGGAGATCCCATGGGGCACATCCAAGTTGGGCTCCTCCGGGTCTCGGTCATTCATCAGGAACTGGGTGGTGTTGTAGGGGGCCACGGGCTGGCCTTTGGCGAACATCTCCTCGCGGACCCGGGAGGCCCTCTGGCTCTGCCTCTCATCCCGCTGTTGTTTCTCAGCCCAGCTCAGCTCCAGGTAGGGTCGCCAGTGCCGTTTGCGCTTGGACGGCCGCCGACGGTGTTTCTTCCGGGCCAGCACAGCCTCCGCTGAGCAGCCCCCTGGGTTCTGGGTCCGGGGACTCCTACTGTACCAGCCCAGGCCACCGACAGCCCCAGCAACATCTTCATCCTCTGAGTGGCTCTCCATCCGGGGTGTCAGGGGCAGGGAACCACCAGAGTCATGAGGCCCAGGGGGTGTTTGGGGGCTCCCCGGGGCACCAGAGGTCTAAAGAGGGGGAGGAGGAAGAAGGATGGATCAGACAGCCTGTCCTTGGAGGTGGAACCCTTCCCTCTCTACCCAGTTTGAAGCCAACCTTCCCACACTCAGCTAACTTGGTCACTCTTAGCCCCTCACCCTTTTGCAACCATTTGTTTACAAAGTGACCTGTCTATTGTCTGTCCCCCAGCCTTCCCCAAGTAAACTCATGGTGACAGCAGGAATTTTGCCTGTGTGTTTCACTCTGTAATTTCAATGCCTAGAATAATACCTGGCACTGAGTAGGAGTTCCATAAATACTGTCCAAATGAGTAAAGTAGAAGAAGAAGAAAACTGGGATAGAAGGCAGATCTTGATACATTTGCTTGATCAGAAGCCCAAATGCCACTGGCTCTTCCCTCTTCCCAGAAAGCCTGACTTTCAAACACGGCTGGCTTCATGGGCAGGTGACCTGTTAAGTTCCACAGAGGCCTCACACCTGGCTTCATGCTGTCCTTGTCTTAAACATATTATTTTTAAAAACCCTTATTTTATTTCAGTTTTTGAGACGGAGTCTCCCTGTCACCCAGGCTGGAGTGCAGTGGCGCAATTTCAGCTCACTGCAACCTCTTCCTCCGGAATTCTCCAGCCTCAGCCTCCCGTGTAGCTGGGATCACAGGCATGTGCTACCACGCCCGGCTAATTTTTTGTATTTTTAGTAGAGACAGGGTTTCACCATGTTGGCCAGGATGGTCTCGATCTCCTGACCTCGTGATCCGCCCGTCTCGGCCTCCCAAAGTGCTGGGATTACAGGCTTGAGCCACCGCGCCCGGCCGAAATAAGTTGTTTTTAGGCTCAGCGTGGTGGCTCAGGCCTGTAATCCCCAGCACTTTGGGAGGCCGAGGTGGGCAGATCACCTGAGGTCAGGAGTTTGACTCCAGCCTGACCAACATGGTGAAACCCTATGTCTACTAAAAATACAAAAATAAGCCAGGTGTGGTGGTGCATGCCTGTAATCCCCACTACGCAGGAGGCTGAGGCTGGAGAATATGGGAGGCAGAAGTTGCAGTGAGCCAAGATTGTACCACTGCACTCCAGCCTGAGTGACAGAGCGAGACTCCATCTCAAAAACAAACAGGCCAGGTGAGGTGGTTTACGCCTGTAATCCCAGCACTTTGGGAGGCTGAGACAGGCAGATCACGAGGTCAGGAGATCGAGACTATCCTGGTTAACAAGGTGAAACCCTGTCTCTACTAAAAATACAAAAAAATTAGCCAGGCGTGGTGGCGGGCGCCTGTAATCCCAGCTACTCAGGAGGCTGAAGCAGGAGAATGGTGTGGACCCAGGAGGCGGAGCTTGCAATGAGCTGAGATTGAGCCACTGCACTCCAGCCTGGGCGACAGAGCGAGACTCCATCTCAAAAACAAACAAACAAAAAAGACCTTTTATTTTCAGAGACACGGTCTTACTCTATTGCCCAGCCAGGAATGCTGTGGTGCAATAACAACTCCCTGCATCCTCAAACTCCTGGGCTCAAGCAATCCTCCTGCCTTAGCCTCCCAAGTAACTGGATCTACAGGCATGCGCCACCACATCCAGCCACTATCTTTAACTTTTTAATAATTTTTGAATAAGGTGCCCTTTTGCACTAGGCCCCACAAATTATGTAGCTGATCTTGCTTCCAGCTACTTGCATGGCTGACTTTTTCTTCATCTTTTTTTTTGTGTGTGTGTGGGACAGTCTCACTCTGTTGCCCAGGCTGGAGTGCAATGGTACCATCTCGGCTCACTGCAACCTCCGCCTCCCGGGTTCAAGCGATTCTCCTGCCTCAGCCTCCTGAGTAGCTGGGACTACAGGTGTGCACCA